ACTCGTCCCTCTATCCTGATCTTATATAACTCAGTCTAACTCGATTAGTGATGCAAACAACGTTAGGTGAACAAACGATTATACTTTGCAGCAACATGTTGCAAGTATAAAACATACATATAAACGGACAGTGATATTTACATCAGAAGTAAATCATTTGTGGAAATTTTGATGGTAGACCGGAGGACATAGCATTTACAAGCTGCCATACAAACGAAACTCGGAATATAGTTATATCGAACACTTTTCATTTGACAACGGTACACCTCTCAGAAATTGTTCAGATTGAGTCACTATATCATATAGTTGCAAACAAACGACCGATCGAAGTTCTTTTAAGGAATGTTTGTATTTTGAAGGGTATTAGCTTGGCAAAGAAGTTAAGCGATACTCTCAACCGTTGCTACAGAGTATAATAGTTTGTTCACCTAAGTTGTTTGTATCACCAAAACTAATGAGTTAGATAAGGTGTATGTATATAAATGATCAGATGGAATGAAGAAACTGGATCGTCTGTCTGTCCGTCCGTCTGTCCGTCCGTGCTTACTCCTGAGTAAAATTGAGATATCTTTATGAAACTTGGAGACATGTTTTTGGTACCGGAGACGATTTATTGCAGATGGGCGTAATCGGACCACTGCCACGCCCACAAAACGCCATTAATCAAAACAAAACTTGCATAACTAAGCTCGCAATAAGATACAAGACGTTATTTGGTTGCGATCACATTAGGGAGGGCATCTGCAGTTAAACTTTTTAAAAGTTCGCCCTCAATATGTAATGGCATATCTCCTAAACCGCTAGCATAATAACAAAAATCATCAGAAGCAAATTTTTAGCAATTCTATTGAGTGAAATAGTTGAAATCTGGTGAACTCCGCCCACCCCATATAACGGTTGTTAAAAACTAATAAAAGCGCGATAAATCAAACATCAAACACGAGGCATTAAATTTTATCTCCTGAGATGGTAATGTACTATTATAGGAACCGCGTTCAAAATAGTCGGGCGTGGATGATTTTAGATGAAAAACCATATCTTGAGATCTGCTCAACCGATTTCAACTAAATTGTCGCATAATGTTTTTGGCGAAATCGGACTACAACCACGCTTACTTCCCATGTAACAACATTTTCAATTCCATCTGATTCTTTCACTTTCACTATGCAAATCAGGTAACAATGATTATATCGGGGTAAAACTTTGCGTGAATAATTCAATTAAAGTATGCCACCTTGCGGCCAAAAATTGTCTAAATCGAACCAAAACTGTTCAAACCCCTAAGTACTAAGTATGTGGATCCCAGTGCCTATAGTTGACCTTCTACCGAAAATATCAGTCAATCCACAAAGAAATCTCAAACGAGTATACCATTTGACTTTGCGAGAGTATAAAATGTTCGGTTACATCCGAACTTAGCACTTCCTTACTTGTTTTTTCTAATTTTGCCCCTATCACTGGTCCCATCAGTCGCTTCGTCTCATGTCGTTACCCTAAGCTTTCAGAATAACCTTTTCTGTATAAGCGCTATTTTATATGTTATAATTTCATTCATCAAATTTTAAATGCATTCTGAATGGCATATTAAGCTCCTTTGTCAGTATCTGAATCCCCAAGGTGCCACAAAGGCAATTATCCTTTTTTCTGTTTAAATTGGACTATTGATCTCGGTGATATTGACTTATCAAACGCTTTCGAATCATAAGTTATATTTAATAAATAAATAAATGTAGGAAAAATGTACTCATTAATTTATTTTTCTTCTCTTTTTTAGTTTAGCACATTTTCATTTTTGTATTAATATACTCAGTTTAAGTATCTACACCTTAATATTATAGTTTTGAGTATTTTTATTCAACTTTGCAGATGTTCGTTAATTTTTTTTCTAATATAGCATCAGTAATATGTTAAAAGAGTATGTTGTGTACGTTCCCCAATTGTTGAACAACCTTTGTGGTCGCTAAAGTTGACTTAAATGACATATTTGGTTAACTACCCTCACAAACCGACTCTATAGGACAAACTTCTTAAACGGTCCGTAACAAAATGTTTAATTTAAATCCAAAGAAACCAATGAAGAGTGATAAATTCGTTTTAAAATGATATTGACTTAATGATAACATCTGATTTTTCTTAAAGTTACAGCAACAGTAAAATTATATAATTAAATATTGAGGTTAAAATTTATATTCAAGCGAAATTCATTAGTCGCCCACAAAACGCCATTATTCGCAAATTTGGTGAGTGCTTCTAAGCTCCGCAATGAGATACAAGCACAACGAAAGGCATTAGCAAGGGGCGTCTGTGGTTTGAAATATTTATAAAAAGTGAGTATGACCCCGACCTTTAATAGGTTTAATGTGCATACATATCTCTCAAAACCACCACCAAAGCCAGATCGACCAAGTTTGCTCAGAATTTTCTTTTGTTATCCCCTCCGACAGCCTAGTTCCCATGTAATAACTGTTATAAAGCCTACTTAAAGCGCGATAAATGCGTTAGAGATATTAAATTTTACAAGATGGCAAAAACCAGTTCTAAAGGAGCCACTAAAAAAATAGACAATTACCGCGGCACCGCTCACCTTTAGGTAAAATCACATATCTCCGTATCTTCTTGACCAATTGCTACTAAATTTGGTGTTTCGGTGCGCAATAATAAAAGGATCAGAGCTGTAAAGAAATATGTCCATTAAATCTGAATTTGAAGCGACGCGTGAGAGTTTCCGTGTATGTTGTAATGGAAACTTTTTTATATCTTTAATCCTAGTCTGCCAACTTTTTTCAGAAAGCTCTCCAATTTGAATTAAATGGAGGAATTAAAATCAGGTATATTTGCCAACCAGCTACTTTGTGGGATCAAGAACATAGTCTCCAAAATGTTGCTGATTTTATCTTGTAACCCGAAGATATAGCTTGCAACAAAGTTGAGACTCTAATTAATATTAAATATAAACCTGTCACTTGGTACAGGGAATTGCAATGGGGCAGGGCATTTATGAATGCAATTTTGTTTTAAAAGTGGGCGTGACCGCGCCCTTTAATAATTTTAATGCACCTAAACCATTCAAGTTTGCACCGAATAAATATTTTTGACTCTTTGTTCGACAATGTGAAAATGAATGAAATCAGATGTTAACTCCGACCAGTCTCCATATACCAGTTAGGTTAAAAACTATTAAAAGTACAATAAATCAACAACTAAATGCGTGAGAGACATTAAATTTTACATCCAAATAGTTCGAGGGGGTTTTATAGGAGCCAATGTCAAAATTGGACGATGGAGGTAGCACACCCACATTTTGGTGAAATCACATATCTCCGGAACTACTCTACTAATTTCTATCAAATTTAACACATATAATTATTTTAACAATCGCATTTACATTGCGAAATTAGACGAAATTGGAATACAATCCTGCCTACTTCCCATATATTGTAGCACAATTTTAAATTCCATATGAATTATACAATTTCCAGTATACAAATCAAGCACCGAAGAATATATCGGGACAAAACTTTGCATAAATAGTGCCTTTGGGGTATACCATCTCAACTCTAAAAATTGTCAAAATCGGGCAATTACTGTTCAAGCCCCCAGTTACCGAATATGGAGACCCCAGTGTCTGATGCTAACTTGTTACCGGAAATAACGATCAATCTATGAGATTTCGTACTTCCGGTTAACTTTATGCTGCATATATCGTCCAATATATTAGCTACCTTATTAAATAAGTGGATGTATTTAAATGAGTAAAATCGAGTGAATACCTGCCTTACCCCCGTATAACTAACCACAGAATTTTCAAACATCCAGTTGATTTTACTCCATACATATATGTTGTTGATAATATGTGAGGTACATTAATGAAACTCAGGGAGTATTTGATTCTGTTAATAGTATGTTGTATTGCCACAAATAGATAAAATCGAGTCAAACCCCTTATCTCTCATATACCTAATATAAGATTTTCAAACTTCCGCTTGGCCGTATGCCAAACTTATATATCAGTCAATACGTAAGATATCTTAGCAAAATTAACTGAACGTATACTATTGGGTATACTATAGCTTAACATATAATATTGAATATACTATTCAATAATAATAATAATAACCCAGCGATTACCTTCCTCCCGCCCAACCGACGCGAGGGGCGCAATCCGCATACGTGCGGAATTAGCCGAGTCAGGAAAGGCAAGAGAGTTTTTTACGTGTTGAGATCTGAAACTGCTCAGCTACAAAAACAAAAATTTTCAACATCTAAGATTTATAGTTACGATATAATAAATTGTTACATTTTCATTTATTAAGAGAAAACCATAAAGTCTTTTTAATTTTGAATGGGAATTAAAATCATGACATATACGGCGGAATGGTTCATTTAGCTCGAAATTTGATCTACAGGATTTTAACCGTGAAGGTCTAAACTGCCTCGAAAAGCGAACCGGAATTTTAAATTTAATTTCAGACAGGAGAAAAGAACTGCAAACTGTTCCATTCAAGATTTTCACTAAGAATATTATGTCAAGCACTAGAAAGTGTAGGTAGATTTATAATTTAGCTTAGGAAGTACCCCAACTTCCTAATACTATATCTATTGGTTTTCGTTGTCCTAACAAACTTTAAACATGTCGGTTACTGTGTTATATATTTATAAATGTCAAAATTAACTCAATCAGCCAATCCCTTTCTCTGTCCCCAACATAGCCTGTATAATAATTTCCGATTTTCCACCTGACAAAATGTGTGATACTTTAATAAAATTAAATGAATAAGAATTGTGTGTGAATATGAATGAAAAAGGTCTAGACTTTGCTCCAAACCTTATATCCTTAAAATAATGAGTTAATTGTGCGCAAGTTAGCAAGTATGTTTGCAAAAACAACACGTTGTGCTTTTAGGCAATTCAATCGATAATAATGAAATGTAGTTTCACTCAACCTTATTAAGGTAATGTATCGATAGATTTTATATTCATAACTACTTACACACTTTCAGGCGTTTGACCAAAATACGTTAAAGGCTAGGTGCATAACGTTCGAGTACCATAGCAACCGAAATTTCACCTAAATAGTGCGCGGTGCGGCAAAATGGGCGCCAACGAGATAAGACAAACAGTAACTTTTGCACGAACATTTCGGTTTGTATATGAGAACAAGATTAAATTTGTTATATGTGTTTATCATAAACCTACATACTATATATAAATAAATGTGCTATTTATTACTTGTTAATGCTTTTATAAGCTTGCTGACACCTAAAACCTAGAGGCGCTCTTGTCATGAATGAAATTAACTCCGAGCGCCTACACACCTAACAGTCTAGTTAATAAAAATCCACATTTTTATACTCTTATAGTTTTGTTCACCTAACGGTTGTTTGTATCACCTAAAACTAATCGAGATAAATATAAATATGAAGATATAATATATAAATTATCAGGATGTCGGGACGAGTTGAAATTCGGATGTCTGTCTATGTGGGCAAGCCGTAACTTGAGCAAAAATTGAGATATCGTCAGAAACTTGGCGCACGTGTTCCTTAGCAAAAATGTGCAGAAAAGTTTGTAGATGGGCGTAATCGGACCACTGTTAAAAACGCGATAAATAAATAAATAAAATTTGCCAGAAACAAGAAATTTCATACTCGAATTGGTCCGAGTGAGCTCTGTAGGAGACGATGGGCGTGGCACCCAAATTGAAGAAATTGTTATCAACCAAATTTGGTACCTTAACAATTCTTTGTTCCGGTGCGAAATCGACAACAACTACGTCTACTCCTATATAGCACAATTGTAAATTACATCCGTTTTTTTCACTTTCGAATATGCAAATCCATACCATATAAATGTATCAGGATAAAACTTTGCGCCAATAGTGCGCTTTAAGAATGCCGCCTTATGACCAAAACTTGTCAAAATCGGACTACAACTGTTCAAGTCCCATATACCGAATATGTGGACCACTTACAGCGAACATTTTATCGAAAATACCGGTAAATCTGTAAGACGTATGTAAGAAATTCAAATTTCGAAAGAATATCTTTCAATAATAGTTTAACTTCTTGCTTTTGATTGTAAATAATGGATGCAATACTGCCTATTTTTAACTAAAAATATACGAAAATCCCGTATATCATTTTACCTTGCAAGAGTATAAAATGTTCGCTTACACCCTTCATTACTTGTTGTAATAAAATATTTATGACCATATGATGCGAACGCTACAGATAAATAAAATGGAACGTTGTGAGCTCTCCAACTTGGAAATGGTGTCATGACTTCCGATTAGAATCGATAAATGTGTGTATTGATTAATAATACCCAATATGTATAAACAAAACAAAACACGATAATGCGCTTAGCAAGGGTATACCGAGTATGTCGCTTTCAAACTGTTCGCTACCAAGTTTATCAACCGTTTGTTCGGTTAAGTCATAGGATTGCGATAGAGAAGACATACGTAGATATACCTATCTGAAAACCACCGTATGATTGTAAAAACAAAATAATCAAATCACCTTCCTGTTTTAAAAGTAAAATAATTAGAGATAAGTATGATTAACGGTTTTTAGAAATAAAAAACCATTTATTAAACATTTTTAGAAAACTTTCACTCCAAGCCCTTTTTTTATGATCGAATCTTTTAACACTTAGCGCTTTTGAGGTCTCAAAATTCTAAAACGGTTTGGTCATGGTTGTCATGCTAAGATAAAGTAAATACAGCAACAATCATGAAAGTTCTACGTTCAAGTGCAGCCGATCATTTTATAAGCCCGAAATTTGCAAGGATCAAAGGCGGAGATCTATTCGATGAAATTTTGAATTGGGTACAATCAATCAGAAACGCAGATATTACTTTATTTACTTCGTTTTGGAAGAGAAGTAAAAATTTTGTTCACCTACATAGTTTTAATAAAATATCAAACATATTGACCGATAATATAATCACTATAAAGTTAACACGATATTCGATCAACCCAATATAGTCCAACCATCTAGATGGGATTTTAAATCAGACAAGTATGTTGTGAGAAATTAAATTTCCAACTAGCGTGAATTAAAGAACTCAGTAGTTTCTTTGGTTTTTTGAAAAAGCTACCAATTTTTAATGAATGATTGCTCTACAACAAAAATGTACCTGAGGAGCCTGGATATTTGATTTAAGGTTAACACAGAATATAAGATGCAAGATAGATCAAAAGGATGTTTACAACAGAGGGGGCAATATTTCAAACCTTCAAACATTTGCTGTGCGCATTTTACCAGAAGTAGGGTCTTTCAGAACTACACAGTTTCCTTACGAAGGTTAATCACAAACATAAATTTTTATACTTATGCAACATATTGACGCGGAGTATAAAAGTGTGCACGGCCCCGTCCCCTAGTAGGTTTAATGTTTACATTAAGGTGGGTCAAAAACGGATGTTTTTTTATCGCTTGGTGCTCTGAAAAATTGCTTGATAGACGCCTATCAGAAAGTCTCTCCAAGTATGAGCTCGTAATTGTAACGGGAAGGTCCTCCGCCTTACAGTTTTCTTTTTTTCCCCTATTATCAAATAGAAAATTTATATCTTGCTTCCAACTACCTGAAAATGTATTTCGTTTAATGGATTTTGTAGAAAAATGGTCTCTATTTTTTCTCTTTTACTCTTGCAACACGTTGCTACAGAGTAGATAACCAATCGAGTAATATATGGGTTTATATATACATAAATGATCAGGATGAAGAGACAAGTTGAAATCCGGGTGACTGTCTGCCCGTCCGTCCGTCTGTGCACTCTGTACCTGAGTAAAAATTTAGATATCTTGATGGAACTTAGTACACATGTTTCTTGACACTATAAGAAAGTGCTGGTGTTGTAGATGGAAGTAATCGGACTACTGCCACGCCCACAAAACGCCATAATTCAAAAACCAAAAAATTTCCATAACTATGCTCCACAATAAGATACAAAACTGTTATTTTGTATAACGAATCGCAAAGGGGGGATGTTATCTACGGTTTAGAAATCTGTTAAACAGTGTGTTTGGCCCCGCTTTCTAATAAGCTTAATGTGCATATCTCCTAAACGACTATTACTATAAAAACCAAATTCACTTAGGGCAAATCCTTATGTTAGAAAGAAATTACATGCATTTGTTATGTTCGGGTCATATTATGACTCTATATTTTTATAGAGAAAATTTAAAAGTAATAGTTCAAAATCTGTTGTTAAAGTTTCGCAAGTATAGTAATGCAGGTTGGTTGAAAAGTGAGTTGTGTTCACCAAGAAATAACACTACTAACTCCAATTTTTTTTTTTTCAACTTGGTACATCTCTTGTGAGAACACATGCAAAGTTATAAGTCATTCTATTAATTAACTATTTGTTTACAAGCCATTTAAAGTTGTCGTGTCAGAGCACTTTTTATTTTCTTAATATGGAAAAAATTTAATATCGCGCAATAATTAGATTTTTTGCTTTGAAAGGTTTAAAAGCAAATAAAATTTATGAACAATCGTTAACGTGATCGTACTAGGCTTCCACGCGAAGAACGACCAAAAACCGCAACCACACTTGAGCAAGTTTACAATATTATTAAAGAAGTTAGACTAAGCGTGAAATTGCTAATGCCACAGGTATCTCAGACGAACGATTACTTCATATTTTACATGGAGAATATGAAAAGCCTGTTAGGAAGGTTAGTGCCGCACACGTTAACAATTCTACAGAAACTGGAACGAAAACAAATCGCTCAGCGGTATTTTTAGCTTTTAAGTAGGATAAAACCAATTTCTTATATCGTTTTATAACTATGGATGAGACTTGGATCTACCACCATGATCTTAAATTGAAACAAGAACGTTTACAGTGGACTAAACCTGGGTTTTCAAAGCAGGTGAAGTCACAACGATTAGCAAAGAAGGTTATGGAATCGGTTTTTTGGGATGCAATGGGTACTTTGTTAATTGATTATCTGCAAAACAAACCTGGTTTGCAGCTCAAAAAATCAATTTTTATCAAGGCATCTGCTCACAAAGGTGTTTTAACAATGACAAAGTTCAACGAATTAAAGTGCGAATTGCTTGAGCATCCACCGTATTCACCAGATTTGGCTCCTAACACTACTACCTCTTCAGAAACCTGAAATAATTTGTTCGTGGAAAGGTTTTTCGTCGAATGACAGCCGTAGGCGGGTATTTAGTACGGGACTACTCCTCTTAATATTTTCATGAGCTAAAGCTTCTCGGAGTTGCACTAAAAGTAATCGCCTCTTGTGCAATTTTCTTGCCACTTTGGATTTACTTCGGCCGATATAGATAAATAGTTAATTAGAGAACAGGGCAACTGGCCGCCTATTGGTTCTTTGTTTGCATGAATATGTACGAACCATTTGGTCCATTGTGTCCACTCCCCTTATTTCGAGTTGTGGTGTTCAATTAGTTCCGTATTTTTTTGATGATCTTGAAAACTATTGCTGCCAAAGTGAAAAGTGCCAAGCAATTAAACCACGCAATATATTTTTGGAACATATCTACATTACAACAGTTTATTTTTCGTGAAAAAAAATTTACTTGAGTAAATTGGAAACTTACGCAATTGGTTTATTGTAGCATGAACCGTCAATAAACGTTTGTTCTTTTTCACTGTACCAACAGTAGTTATGTTTTGCCCGTACTCACATTTCTTCCACGATATGAGAACACTATGCCTAGAACAACCCTCCTTTGTTCCGTACAGCATTGTTTCCCACTTTGACCAAGTAAATTTGGAATTTTAAACAAAACGCGGTGTCAGAATCCGTTGCTATCCAAGATTTTATGCCATATTTCCCATGCGAAAGGACTTCTACCTCGGGAAGAACAAAGCTGTTCGTCAAGTGTTATTTTAGCATTTGGGACGTAAAGCAGTTGCAAGATTTGAGTCCATTGCTCATAAAATTTGGGAATAGGAGCAAGTTTATCTCCCCTTTGTTCTGATCTTCTTTGCCTATCATCAAATGCTAGTATATGAGAAATAAGTAACTTGAAAACATTCGAAGACAGCATTTCATTGCAAATTATTGTAGTAAATTATATCCCTTTATCAGACGATCTTTATCAAAAAATTCCGTGGCATTAGTTACAGTCATTGTACTCACGTTCTTCACGCTACTGG